TGTACACCTTTAGTCCCAGCACTGGGGAGATAGCAGCGGGTGGATCTTTTAGTTTAAGACTGGCCTGGTCTACAGAGTAAGTTCCAAGACAGGCAGGGCTATGCAGAGAAACTGTCTCAAGCAACATCCCCCTTCCCGTCCCTGCAAAAACAAAGAAAACCCTAACAAAACCCCAAACCAGTCTTCCCTCTGTTTACATAAAGACCTGCAGGTGAGATGTGGTGGCATGTGTTTGTACAAATAAAGCCTGTCTGGGGGTCGGAGGACGGAGCTTGCCACCAGCTAACCATAGCGGTTTGTACAGACAGGAAGGGAGGTAGCTAGGCAGAAACAGGATATAAGCAGGGAGAAACAGGAACTTGCTCTCTTGTCTGTGTGCACAGATTTTCAGACCTCTATGGTTAGCTAGTGACAAGCTCCATTCTCTGACCTTCACACAGGCTTTATTTGTACAAGATATCACTACAGTGGGACACAGCAGAAGCAATGTGTATAACATCCAGAAACTGTTTTTAAGTGAATTATGTTTCTTCTGTAGGCCAATCTAATCTTTACTAATGTTGTGGTCTAGAATATTGAAGTTCTTCTATTTTACTCAGAAACCCTCAATGCATTGCATTTCCTGGTTATTAAATTCTGACAGTTGCAGGCAAAAAAAAAAAAAACAACCAACCATCCATCCAACCAACCAACCAGCCAAAAAAAAAACAAACCAGCATTTTGGCTAGTATGGCTTAACACAGATCGAATTGACTTCTTCCCAGTTACCAACAAGAGTAGCTCTCCTCACACCAGTAACCAGGTTCATCCACCTTTAGCCTTCTGGCAGTCTGCACCTAGCCATGCTCACCACCTGGCAGTCTGCACCTGGCCATGCTCGCCACCTTCCTGCGGTTTCTGTAGGTCACCCATGTTCAGGTCACTTGCATGGTACTGAACTAAACAAAAGGGCGGGGGGGCTGAGCAGTTTAGATCAACGAATCCCTCGGAAACTTGGAGGTTATGAGTTATGAATAGGGAGGCAAATCATGGCCAAAGAGTTATTACCAGGAGCCGGGAGCAGGCTGAGTGGCAAAGAGCAGACTTTACTATGTCCTTTGATGTCATTCAGAAATCCAGGCTTCGCAGACTTACCATTCCTCTTTGGAGTTAGAAGGCAATGTAGGAGACAGATTATGGAATAGCATAAATAGTTATTTTGGTCTAAGTCACTGAACTTCAAATACAGCACTAGGCTAAACGATTTGGTAATTAACTTGCTTCCCCTCTAAGGACACAAGCTAGTCGGTAGAGAGAGCTGCCTTTGAAAGAACGAGCTCAAACCACACAACGGTCCCTCTTGTCACCTAGGAAAGTAAGAAAAGAACACCTGTGTTCATTTCTCCTTCCCTCTGACTGCTCGCACAGGCTAGCCACACAGTAGCTTCCTTATAGTCCATTACCCGGAAGTGGACACCCACTCTCTTGGCTTTCCTCACCCCCTCTAGTTTTCCATTCCCGGTGCTTAGAAGTTTTGTTTGTGGGGGTCCAAATGTGGCACAAACTATTAGAGGCTTCTAAGCGGCAACAGCTGCAGAGGCCAAGGATGTTGGCTGAACAACTGACCGACCTTTCCAGGGAGAGCGCTGAAGCGGAGAACTTAAAAAACACCTCCCAATCTGTCAGGAACATGGAAACGGCTGCTGTCTCTCTCTTACACCGGCCAAGGCTTTAGAAGGCCAGCATCTGGTTAGCCAGCCCCCATATTTGAAAACACAGACTGGATTCTCCTGTTCTTTAGGAACACAGAGCACCAGTCAATAGAGACCACAGGGCTCAAGGAAAACAAGAAGCTTCAGGGACAACCTTAAACCAGAACCAGTGCCTGTGGAGCCAAAAGAAATCAAGATACCCAGAGGTGGACTGTGTCAATTTCTTCTAACAGAAAAAATAACTAGAATGCTAAACAGAAACCCAAGAGGAACTTGAGTTTTCTGAAATAAAAACGTGGAACCACCATGTCATTGCCTCTGCATCTCCTGAGGGAGATAGGAAGTTTGCTTTGAAAAATAAAAACCATCGTCAACATGTCAACACAACAATCAGCAACAGTTATTTCTGCATGCTTGTGTCCCTTCCAGGTGGTCCCTCTGACCGGGCAGGCTTGGATAGTCATGCCACCTCAGGTCGGCTGCCAACAGCTCTGAGGCGTATTTAGTTTAGCTGCGGGCAATCAGAGGAGACAAACGAAAAAGACCAGATGCCAACGTTTTGGAGCCCATCAAAGAAACTGGCATTAACAAAAGCAGCTACCAGAGATGACTAAATTTTTTTTTGTCCAAACCAGCAAAGATTTGGAGTAGCATGAAAACAAAAGGCACAAGATAGCAACTAAGCATGCTGGGAGAAAAAGGCAAAAGTGTCTAACAAATTATGAACAACCCTCTTAAAAAATAATGTGGTTAAGTTGGGTGTGACAGCATGTTATCTACCATCTAACCACTTGGGAGGGGTGGAGGCAGAAGATCAGGTAGGTGCTCAAGGTCATCCTTGGCTACATAGTGAATTTGATGCTAGCCTAGGATACAGGAGATCCTGCCTTAAAAAAAACAAGTTTATGGATTAGAGCAGCTGTCAGACCTTATTAGAAGAGTTTCTTTGTGCAGTGGAAAGTGGTAAACAGAGAAGTATAGAAAACAAATGTCTGTGGAACTGCTCAGCCACCCAGCAATAGTAACTTAAAACAGTAGGAATTCTGGATAGCCTTTGACTAAGATAGATTCTACCTGAGGCTGCAGCCTAACAGTTAAGGATGTAACCTAAGAAGCCCAGCTTGTCTTGGCTTGAATGCTGGCTCTCTTACTCTAAGTGGTTCGAGCATAATCCTCATCTGGCTGGACCTCAGTTTCCTCCCCCATCTGATGATGGTATTATATTTAAGTGACTCTAGAGCTCCTAAGTAAGATGTCACAACAAAGAATGGAGAGAAAAGGGGCTCAGCAGCCTTGACTTTATTCACCAAGAGATGAAAGGAGAAGTAGGACCACACAGCTTGCTTGTCAAAGGCTAAAGGATGTGTGTGTGTGCTCGCGCACATGCATGCAAGCCAGAGGATAACATTGGGTGTTGTCCCTTAGATGCTGCCCACCTTCATTTCGAGATATCGTTTCTCATTGGCTTTGAACTAGAGTAAGCTAGGCCATGTTGACTAGCTAGGAAACCCCAGTGGTCCGACTGTCTGTACCTATCTAACATCTTGGCAACTGTTGCTGTCTTTTCTTCTGTAAATGTGGCTTCTGGGGTTCAAATTTAGGTCCTTGCACTTGCAAATTTTATGTGTTGTAAAATATGCTATTGATCCTGTATGTCATAATTAGCAATTATGCAATGTCATATTTTGTCTTTGAAACCATTGTTTAAAAAAAAAATCAAAGGCCAGGTGGAGTTTCTCCCCTCTTAAAAAGTAATCCGTGATTACTGCAGAATGAAGCTGTCATTGGTCTCGCTGTCTGTTTTCTCCAGAATCTGTCAAGCATCTGCGAGAAGGGCCCATGAGAAGAGTGGGCTTTGGTGCTCCTGCCTTCTGAGGCTTTCAGTGCGAACCACTCCACCCCTTTAAGTCTAACATGACTTCAGTAAGACACATGTTTATTATAAATTGCTTGGGAATAAATATGCATATTAATCAAGTGAGCTGACAGTTATATTTAGGTGAACTCTGCTCCCCTCTCCTCCTGGGAGGCAAAGGAAGGCACAGAATAAATTCTTTCTTTGTTGTTGAGTTTTATACAGAGCTTAACACTTTTCTTCACTGCTAGGATTTCCCTCCACCCCACACCACATGTTTTCTCGTGTACTTTTACCCACTTCCCCAACAATGCCAGGACCCCTCCTGCCTGCTACACTGACACAGATTTTACTTTGGGTCAAATCTGAATCCCGTGAAATTGAGCCCAGCTGTCTTTCCAGGGGTCTTGGCAAAGACATAGCTCCCAATGACTCCTTTGCCATGTCAGATCCCAAGGGCACCCTCGGGTCTGAGCACATTTCTCAATGGCTTCACCAACTACAAACCGCACCTTCAGCAGCACTTTGAGACCAGTGGTCTTTGGTCATTACTGACTCTTGGTTTTCTACTGTGATTTCTACCCGAGTTATAGATACTCATATTCTCCAAGTCTACCTGAATCTTATCCTACCAATGTCCAATTTTATCACCTTCTCAAGTTTACTTTTCTTTTCCCTCCCTTTAAGCCCTCCCACGTGCTCGTTCTCGCTCATTTTCAAATTCACAGTCCCCCCTTTTCATTAATTTTTAAAAAACATTCAGGACACAGATGCAATACAGATGTAATTCTTTACTCTTCTATGGTTCAACTAAAGTTTCAGGGCTGCGTAATGCACATGAAATTATCAGTTTAATTTCAGTATGTGGACTGAAATGAAACCGATTAAGCCACATATATACATAACTCCACCTCGCACACTTCATCAACACACTCAAGCAGGTGTTTTCTTTAGATATATCAAAATACAGTACTGAGTGGGTCATCACTGTGTCCCTGTCCAGCAACCAGAGTCAACTGGAAATGGGTGAGAAGCGGTCATCAATGGTAACTCAAGGTGGAGCTGTGGATCTCTTTAAGTGAACTACACGGTGATTCATGTTTATTTCACCTTCCCTTAAGACTGGGAATGCCTGAAGTTCGAGATGTCTTAAGAGGGGTTTTGCATAAACTAAACTCGAGGAAGGTCAACTCTTGGAGGGACCTTCTTCTTGGCTAGACGCTTCGCTGTGTGGCGTTCTCTTCAGTGAGGTGCGACCACGCAGGAGGCCATCTTTGTGGCTGACACAGGTGACCCTTGGGTTTGGTCTTGTGCCACCCTAAGGATACAACTGTTTCAGTGTATAGAGTAAGCACACTGAAGTCTAGTGAGGACTCCACTAATCAGGTGCGCAACGGTCCATCCTGTGAAGGAAACTTTGTAAGTCAGGTCATTCAAAAGGAGACAAGATGCACTTTTTTCAAAAGCAAGTTATATTGTTTAATTTCCTTTTAGACAAACAGCACATTCCAACCACCCTCTGAGAGGACCCCAGTCACCCAACTGTCCATCCACACGCAATCTTCTCAACCATCTGGGAACTTTCACCTTCTTCCACAAGTGCTCAATTTCCATTGCCAAGCTACTGGGTAGATTCACTTTTCACTGGAAAAAACCACGTAAACATACAGTCAAATGTTTATACTGCTCAGCCTGTTCTGTTTCCTCTTCATCTCTCCTCCCTTCTGATGCATAGCAACAGCACTGCTCACAGGGACAGACAAACCGTGTCGTGTCCCTGGCAGCCAGGATACACAATTCTGGACATAGTAAATAGAGAAACGATACTTACACAGTGACAATTCTATTTTGTGAGGCTATAATTTTGACTGTGGAGACTTGAGACTGGACCTCGGGGCTCAGTTATGATCCACTATTACACAGCCTGCCCACACGCAGTTGGAAAGTGTTTTTACATATGTGTATTTTTAAACTTTAAGAGGGAGTTTATGTGAAAGCTGACAGAAGACTGGCCACAATGGAGGCTCTGAGGCTCCCGTCATGCTCAGGGTCAATCTCTATGACCACGACCCAAGCTCTCCTCCCTGGGTTTGTCCACGCCCTGAACCCCTGTGCGTTCTTACATATGATGAAACTAACAGGAAGTAACACATTGAAATACTTGAAAAGTTAAAATCTCACTTGTGTCTGCAGAGATGGGTTCTCAGGGTTAGGGACACTCACCCACTGCTCCTTTAGACAACTAAGCTTGGTTCCCAACACCCACCTGTGGCTGGTTATAGCTGCCTGGAACTTCAGCCCTAGGAGACCTGCCATGCCCCTTTGGCCTTTGAGAGCACTGTATGTAAGTATGAGTGTATGCACACGCACACATGTACACGCCAAAATAAAACGAAATCTTCAAAACACGATAAAACACATGACTTTGTTTAGAGTTTTTATACTGCTCGTCTCTCTGAGGTAGAGAAGGAAGAACGCTCAGAGAGGATGCACAAGGGCTAGGAACACAAGCATGGACCCTGTCTCATTTGCCAACTGTCAAACCCTCAGGTCTACGCTTGCACTGGCAACCAAAGCAGGATTAGGTGAGTCCGTCTGTGGCAGGATGTGGCCACTTCAGGCATTCTCCATCTTGGAGATTCAGAAACACCAGGAGAACCTGTCGAGTTCCTCTGAGACCCTACATGCTGATTATTCTCTGGCTTCCTCTGCAGGGGTCTGCCATGGCACACGCTGCACACACGGCTTAGCTGTGCTTCCATGGGTCTGAGCCCAGTCCTCACCTGATGATAGAAGGGCAAGAGAGCAAAGGAAGTTGAGGAAGAATGGGAGGGTCAATAAGAGGACTTGTGTGCCCAATGAGACGGACAGATGAAAGGGTTCTGCCAGGTGATGGTGCCGGCTAATAAGCGGCTCCACAGCAACGAGGCACTCACCCTTCCCTTGCCTACTGAAGCTGCCTATTCCCACACAGGCTTTGCCCTCAAAAGACAGCACAGCTTCCTCTAGACACTCGGCTGTTCCTGGAGCCTGCTCAGCGGTAAACTCTGCTTTCAGCACTCTCCACAGCCCCATGGGATGGAGACAGAGAGAGACAGAGACAGAGACAGACAGAGGGAGGGAGAAACAAGCAAATACCCCCTTGCCTATTAATATAGGTGGAATTAATTATGGCAGCCTACAACCAAACACTGTAACAACTACAGTTTTTTAGAACCCCCGTCCCCCCAGAAGAACCAGAACTCTATTCTTAGGATAAAAATTAAACATTCTTTTTCTTTTTTTAAACACCTTTGGAGAGCAAAAATTTAAGGCTTTCCAAAGAAAATGCACTGTTTCTATAGGATCACAGAGCCACTTGCAGAATACCAGTGCTATAGGACTGTGTAAAGAGACAAGCACCCTGATGTGCTAAGAAAAGAAATGCATGCCCACAGAGCCGCCCTTACTGTCGAGGGGAGTGCACTTAGGATGTGACAGCTGGGTAGCCTAGGATGCTTGAATTCTGTCAGATTTTCTTTGCAGCACTCCTAGACAACTATTTACATAGAAGTCTCAACTGTGTGTGCCTGTAAATAAGTCCAAAGTAAAGCAACAAATTCTGCCTGCGGCTCCAGGATAGGCTGAATGAGCCTTTCTTACGGCTTCATCCCAGGAAGCCCTGCTTGAACATGTTATTCCTAAACGAGGTGAAAGAGGAGCTGTGTGCTGTTTGTTTACACAGCCCATGCTTGCCCTGGCTACTAACTCACCCAGCAGCTCTCCCTGAAACCAGCATTTACAAGTCTTAATACTATGCTAATCATGTTGAAGAAAAAGTAACGTTTTACAAAGTTTAAAAAGTAAAAGTGATTACTTAAGACTGGAATTCCTAATTTGAGAAAATTGGCTATCCTCAAATTGTGAAAAACAAAGATAAGAATAAATACAAGACTCATAACTTGTTATTAAAAACTCTACATCTGCTAACTAGAATTTAGTTTCAAGACGTGGCACTAGAAATACCTTGGACAAATTTATTAGTTTTACCAAGAAAGAAAAAATGACATACACACGTGGAGAAAACCTTACAAACAGGCCACTGCCCATCACATAACAAAATGTTTAGGACACATGCTGACTAAACTATGCAAACACGCAGATTCACATGTAAGTCTTTGGAGTCTGCTGCAAAGCAGCTTGGCCTGTATGCACCATATCTCAGATAGACTGTCATCTAGAAGTAATCACTGGGCTTTAACCAAGTCCCAGACTCTTGTGTTATGCAATACAATCAATCAGGTTACTCTGGCCAAGGGCTGGACGTAGGAGAGCAGTTTTTAGACACCAGTTACGTGCCCCACTCCCATGGTTCCAGTTCCTTCTCACATGGCAAAGAGACAGAAGGGGCAGGAAATAAGCCAGTGAGCCAGGGTACAAGCTCAGCTAAACGTAGCTCAGACTTTGAGCACAGTCCCCCAGCAATATCCTTTGCTAGAAGGGAGGATTAAAAACAAAAAAACCCAGGAATATTTCATTTCTTGAATCTCTAGACTTTTCTGTTGTGGAACAGTCCTGTTGTTCACTGTAAAAAATGCATTACTTATCACTTTCTTTTGTTTTTCGAGACAGGGTTTCTCTGTATTGTTTTGGAGGCTGTCCCAGAACTCGCTCTGTAGACCAGGCTGGCCTTGAACTCACAGAGATCCGCCTGCCTCTGCCTTCCGAGTGCTGGAATTCAAGGCATGCACCAACGCCTGGCTAAAATGTATTACTCTCATTGGTTAGTAAGGAGTTGTCGACTGGTTGATGGCTAGGCATGGTTTTTGGGACAGAGAGAATGCTGGGAAGAAAGAAGGTGTCTCAGAAGTCTCTAGAAAAATGTGGAAAGAAACAAGATGAACTTGCCCTGTTGAAAACAATGTATTGCCATGTAGCAAGAGCACAGATAAGAAGTATGGGTTAATTTAAGTTGTAATAGCTTGCTACTAACTAGCTATTGTCTAATCATTTATAACTAGTATTATAATTAATAAAATAACAACATAATTGTAATATAATTAATATTAAGTCTCTGTGTGGTTATTTGGGCGTCAGCTGGCGGGACAGAGCTAACCGGTGGTCCTGACAAAAATCTCCGTCCACAGTTTTCAGGAAACAGTAAATTATACCTTGACAGTTCTAATAAAGTAAACTATGCTTTTGAGTAAGACACTTTGATCCACCCAATCAATCAGCGTCATGAGCGTCCCTTTCCAGTGGGGTGGAAAGGGCACTGGTTCACTTGGTACTTTACAATATCAGCTGCTGTGCACAGTAAATTCTTTTACAGCTGTAACACACACATAATACATATAAAAGCAGCCATTTAACTGCTGGTCTGTCTAGGAAGGGAAAAGACAAATATGCTTACCTTGGTGAAGAAGTTGCATGTCATTACTAGATCCTTTCAATACCACATGCAAAGTTGGGTATTCAATGATCACTTTGTTCTTCAAATTGTCTAAAAGACTTTTGTTAGGATCCAGTTCATAATACCTTAAGAAAAAAAAAACCTTAAAATTTAAATTAATCCTTTTTCCTGTTCCTCTCCCTACCCCACAAGGGTTTCTCTGTGCATTTGAGGCTGGCCTTGAACTCACAGAGATCCACCTGCCTTTGACTCTCAAGTGCTAGAACTAAAGGCCACCACCATCTGGCTATATTAATCTTAAAGAATATACCAAAGACTCTCATAAAGGTTTTAAAGGCTGTAAACATTAACCGAGGAGTAATTCTTTAATACAAGTTTAGTGCCGCCTAAGAAACGAGGCAAAAGGGTTACTGTTATGGAGGTCTTAAAACGAAATCTCAAGTATATTGGTGCCTACAAGTCAACACAAGAGGAGCTGAGGCCAGAGGACAGTGACTCTGAGGCTACACATGTCACTCTGGGTTACACCTTGAGACCTTGTTTCAAGAGATCATCATAAAAGCAAATAATCAAAATGTGGACCAAGCAGGGTATGTTGGTACATACATCAACGCCACCTTCTTGGGAGGCTGAAGTAGGAGGATCCTAAGTTAGAGCCTAGTAATGACTGCAAGATGCCTCTTTTAGAAAAACGGGTTATCAGATATTGGCCACTTGAAAAAACATAGATCAAGTCCCTAGTTTTCACACAGACTAAGAAATGAACAGTTTTATATAAAATCAATGTTCAACGCATCATGAACTTTTCTTTGACAGATGAAATCCAAATTCCTCAAATCTATTTACTTTGAACTTGAAAAGAATAACTAGCTACGAAATACTTTTGTAAACTCAACTCTATTTATAACTGATTCCCAGAAGTTTACATTGCCATGCAATTAAATCTGAATTGTCTTCATTTTGATACTTTAAACGGTTTTGGTTTCTGAATGCTATAAAAGTGAGAATCTAAATATCTAAGAATTAGCTGTGTCATGGCATAATAACATAGCTAACAATATACAACAGTTAATTAGCAACACATACTAAGGAGTAAAACTCTCAAGTTCTTAAGATGAAGTGGACCGAAGGTGCACCGTCAAGCCAGGCAGTGATGGCGGACACCTTTAATCCCAGCACTCAGGAGGCAGAGGCAGGTGGATCTCTGTGAGTTCGAGACCAGCCTGGTCTAGAGTGAGTTCCAGGACAGTCAGGGCTACACAGAGAAGCCCTGTCTTCACACGATCCCTACCCCACTCCTGGAAAATGAAGTAATAGGTCTAAAAGGGATTACAGTTCTGCTCTGTCACCTACTGGTCTATGATTCTGGATAAATCACTTCATAGTTCTTAATTATTTATTTGGCGTATGGGTATGATATGGGTGCCGAGCATGCTTGTGTGTGCATACAGCCTTGGGGATCAGTCGTCACCTTCCAACTTGTTTGAGATATGGTCCCTTCATTGTCTGTTGTGGCATACAACATACTAGCTAGGCCCACAGCATCCAGGGGTCCCTTCTCTGCTGCCCATCTCAGTGATGAGCACTGGGATCTCAGACATGAGTTCCTGGCCGGCTTTCCCAGAGTGCCGGGGACTCACACTTGTACAGTCAGCCCCCTGCCCACTGAGTATCTCCTCAGCCCATGTTCCTTCTTTAATCCTGTTTCCTGCTTGAAATGGGGACGACAGCAAGTTATAAGTGCTCAGTGACAAAGCAGACTTTCACCTGAATACAATCACAGGACAAGGTCCCTAGATTTCCTTAGTGAGAAAGAGGGACTCATGCAGGCATTAGGCACATTTTTGTCTTTGTTCCATCTTGCCTAAGAGTAAGAATATGACTTTTAGAACAACCTCCAAACCACAGCTGTACTGTCATGTTTACTTCCAAGAATCTAAAAGTACTTAAAATGCTTCTGTTTCCAACATCCTGAGGCAAGTTTTAAAAGTTCCATTTTGTCTCTCTTAAAACACTCAGACCCAGCTCCTTTGTGAGCTGTTTGGGTCACCAAATCCCAAAGGACACCTTTATCATTCTGAAATTTCTACAACTCTGTTATTTCCATCAGCACAGCTCTGCTGCCAGAGGACAAATGACTTAGATTTGGAAGAATCATGATCCCTACATTTGTCTTTCCTCTTACTCTCAGGGACACTTGAGACATTTCTTCTTTGTCTACTTGCTCAACCTCCCCTGGACCAGCTGACCCTGCTCCCGGCAGCTGCCCGGGGCATCAGCAGGGCAGCAGGCCTTGCTCAGTAGGCTCAACAGGTGTCACGGGGCTGATCATCAAGCATGACCTTGGCTCTGTTGTCATCTTTCAAAGACAGAGGCCATCTTCCTCACTTCCTCTGTCTGCCCCAGCAAATTAGGACAGCAGGCCTCTACTCTTCACATTCAGGGGAGATATAAAAAGAGAGCCATGAGCAATGCTATCTCCATTTCCCATCTAGGCAGTGACACTGTAGACCACCACCATTCTACTCCCTAAAATACGTACTAACCAAGTCCAACTTTTCCCAGATGTAACAACTTAATAGTTGACTCAAGTCCACAGGATTTTTCCACTACAAAATAAGGTCACTGAATGAGACGTTCACAGCTGTAAAACTCTAAAAATTTTGATATGTATCTGCCAAAGGTAGGAGAGCATAACCTATGTTCAGTAGAGTTGTATATACCTCTCAATCTAGGTTTCTTGGTTAAAAGAGCAACTAATTCATTCCAAAAGTACAAAATTGAACCTCTGGCATTTTGAAAGAACAAAACAAACAAAAAAGACCCTAAAGCTTAACATAGTATAAATCTGTTCAATGTTAACTGGTGGCTAAATGTTTTTTAAAGTATGGCTCATTCTAAACTAACGAATTCTGTAAGATACTGGAATAGATTCTTAGTTTGTCTATTTTAAAATTTTATTGATTTAAGGTTTATATTTATTCTCCCCTTCTTATTACTTAAGAATTTTGTACAACGTATTTTGATCATATGCATCTCTCCCCACACCTCACCCGAGACCCACCCTCCTCCCCACCCACCCAACTTTGTGTCGCCTTTTTAAAAACCCATCAAGTCCAATTTGTGCTGCCACTGCAATACACTCTTGGATGTGTGGCCACTAACTGGAGGTGACCAACCTATTGGGGGTCACACCCTACAGACTGATTCTCTCCAAGTAGTGACCACTGTCAACCAGGTCCTCAGTTACTGGTGGGACTTAGTATCTGCTTCCCCTCCCCATGCTGGGACTCTGCCTGGCTCGGGCTTGCACAGGTTTTGCTCATGCTGTCACAACTGCTGTGAGTGCATACGTACAACCAAGAGTTCCAATGAAATTTCCTTATAATGGAGTGACAGTACCTTTAGCAGAGGCTAACAAATGAAAAGCCCAGCGCCAGGAATGCGTTACCTCTCTTGGAGGTGCTGACCAGTACAGTCCTACATACCCCAGACATTACAGGCTATTGCCGCTGTTCTTGGTCATCCTCCAGAACTAATGGTCAAGGCACAGAGAGGAAGAGAAGGCTGAGTGCTCAGACTTAAATGGGACATCTGGATCTCAGTTCCCTCTCCAGTGGCTCAGGGCTCATTTTGGAAGAGGGGGATGAAAGATTTACCGTGTTCTCTCCAGACACAACAGGGCTGTGGGAATGAACTTTTAGTGAGGGTTTTAGAGCCACTTACCAACCTCCTTGAAAATAACGAAAACTTTGATTACGACTAGCAATCCAGCTACTCAGATGGCGGTGGCTTAAAGGGGAGTGACACTATTAGGAGGTGTGGCCTCGTTGGAAGAAGTCTGTCACTGGGGTTGGGCTTAGTTCTCATTTACTCAAGCTATACCTAGTGAGACAGACCACTTCCTGTTGCCTATGAGGTGTAGGACTCTCAGCTACCTCTCCAGCACCATGTCTGCCTGCACGCTGCCATGGCCCGCCATGATGACAATGGACTGAACCTCTGACCTGTAAGTCACATTAACTAAATGCTTTCCTTTATAAGAGATACCATAGTCATGGTGTCTCTTCACAGCAATAGAAACCCCAAGACTGATGGCTCAGGCAGGAGGGACATAAGTTCAAACCCAGCCTTGGTTTACAGAACTAGCTCAAGACCAGTTTGTATAACTTTATGAAATGACTCACTGGATAAAATACTTGCTGTGCGAACATAAAGATCGGGGTTCAGAACCCTAGAATCCATGTAAGTATAGACAAGTAGTGTGGCCACCAGCAATCCGACCACTTGGAGGCAGGACAACCCACTGGCTAAGACTAGCCAGATAGCCAGCTTCTGACCCAGTGAGAGATCACCCCCTTATAAAAACTGAGTGCAGCTGAAAACAGCTTCAACTACAGTCTTCTGTGTGCAAATGTGTATTCAGCGTGGACATCATTATGAAAAGAAGGTCAGGGAAGGAAAAGGAAAGGGAGGCTGGGATGCAGGTTGGTGATGGAGCGTTGCCTACCATGTCCAGGCCAATTCCTAACCAAGTGCTGGGAACCCCAGCCACCTCTCTAGCCCCTACTAACTTTGATCCTAAGACTTTAATTTTATTGGGAATGAATCTCAATACGACATGCTAGCAGCTTTTACTAGTGCCAAAGCTGTTTATTTTTGTTATTATTGATTCTTAGGCCGAGTGAGTCCCCCAATTAACAACTAATTAGCAGAATCAATAAAAAAAAAACCAAGAGAAAGTTTAACATACCTATTCAGACAGCAAACCCACGGTCTTCAACAAATCTCCCTTACCAATGAACTCCAAAGATAAGTCCAATATCAACTCTTGCCATCTCAAATGCTCCAACAGACATTTTCAAATCATAACTTTTAATATATATGTATATATATACACATTTCCTTTTCAAATATCTGCACAATACAGTTTTTAATTTCTTTGTAAGTCTAACAAGATCATTTAATTTTCCATTTCTAGTTCAGCCAAGGAAAGTGTAAGACTGGTATCATTCACACATCTCCAATCCAACTCAACAAATACCCACCAAATACTTAAGACTGTGGAAACCCTGCTAGACACTGAATGAGATCCAGAATGTCCTCAAGGACTGTCCCAGCTGCATGATTCTCAAAGAGCTGTTCCAAGAATAACTCAGTGTCCCCAGCATAAGGCTGAGTTGTATGAGATACACTAGACCAGCACCTCCGTGGGTGAGCTGGAAGGCAACACCCAGTAAGTAAGCATGCCAGAGGAGTGTGATGGGCACTGGAAGCTGGGGAGCCGTCTCCTTGGAGAACACGTGGGGATGACACCCATGGTACGGGAGAAAAACTGCTGAGGAGGGGCTGCTAGGACTATCTGGTGAGGCAGGCACAGTGCCAGCTAGAACCTGATCAAGTGCAAGGTGGTGGCGGCGCACACCTTTAACCCCAGCACTCAGGAGGCAGAGGCAGGAGGATCTAGTTCCAGGACAGCTTCAAAGCTACACTGAGAAACTTTGTCTCCAAAAAAATCAAAAATAAAAAATAGAACCTGCTCAAGTGACACGAATTAAGTTCTCCGAAGGGTGGCCTCTAATTATCTAACAGTGAAGCAAAAGTTCCCAGTCCCCAAATAAGTCAGGAGAACTGGAGAGCCCCACTTTGAGGCTTTCACATGGGGAAAAAAAAAATCAACGTATCTAAGTGGGGGTATCTTAACTCTTAATGCAATTGAAAATGATTTAAGATACTTCATAATAAATATCTAGATTTAAATTTAAAAAAATCCTCTCTGCACAAGGATAAAAACATCCAAAAGAAATGGCCCGTACTTCTTTTTCTGACTGCAAACACAAGTGTCCCACAGTAAAGCCAGCATAGAGGGACATGACTAATGGAACAGGAGAGCAGGGTACATGGGTCGTCTTTTCAGCAAGAGCAGCAGTATTCTGTGACATCCTTGATGCCAAAGCCTAGAGGATGCTTTGGCTTTGAGTCAGCATGTTTGGTTTGTGTGTCACTTTCTGGAGAATGAAAGCAATTGATTTGTGCTTCCATCAGAAAGTAAGTCTGGGATGCCCACAAAGTGATGCTCACGTTCTCCACTGCATATCAGTATCTCGATTTCAAACGCACACCTCTGGTGTATGTAGCACTAGCACACCTTGCACCCCGGCCCCGACATTAGAGTGAGGTCTTTGTAAGCCCATGCACCCTTAGGCTTAGCACTGCAGTGGCACATGAAGGGACTCAGCGACTCCACTGCATGGCTATAAAAGTGCAGCCTTGATCAATCTTAACGCACTAGGACGTAGTCTGAAACCCTGCCCTGAGAACGCACTACTCCAGAGAAGTAGCATACACCACACTGGGCTCTCGTTTTAAGACAGCTTGCATTTTACACATTAAGAACCAACACACTTAACTAGTTAAATATATAAAACCTGTGGTGGTTTGAAGGCGACTGGCCCCATAATCTCACAGTGAGTGGCACTAACAGGAGGCATGGCTGTGCTGGAGGAAGTGTCTCAATGTGGGGTTAGGCTTTGAGGCCTCACATATGCTCAAGCCATGTCCAGTTATCTCAGACCACTTCCTGTTGCTTGCTGGTCAAGATGTAAGACTCCCAACTCTTCTCCAGCACCATGTCTGCCTGCACGCTGCCATGTCCCACAATGATGACAATGGACTGAACCTCTGAAACTGTAAACAGCCCAATTAAATGGTCACAGTGTCTCTTCAGAGCAACAGAAACCGCAAGGACAAACCTCTTATTATTTTTAAAAATTCCTTAGAGCAGGAGTTAGCAATCTATGGCAACAGTTCAAATGCAACCTGCTATTTCTGTGTATTTTACTGGGAAAGTCATATCTGTTCATCTACATAGTCTATAGTTGTTTATGTGCTATTAAGGCAGAAAAATATTAAATTTGATTTCTTTGGCGTTTGTGCATGTGTACAAGTGTCTACATGACAGAGGTCATCTAGGTTAACAGATTGTTCCACAGGATCTGTCACTGGCCTAAAGCTTACCAAATAGGTTATGGTGACCAGCCAGCAAGCCTCTGTAACCCACCTGTCTCTGCCTCCCTAGCACTGGGATTACAAGTGTGTACTGTACACCCAGCTTTTAATGTCGGTTCTGGGAAATGAATTCAGGTTGTCATGCTGGCATGACAAGTTATTTTAATGACTGAGCCATCTCACAACCCCACTTGGGGAAAGTCACTGACACAGTAGTAGGAAAAACAAAGATGAAGGTGTCTAAAGCAGTCATTATCTTAAGAAATGAGTGCATCACACGGACTGCTTTACTAAGGATGTATGAAATGTATACACAGTTTTTGAAGCTCAAAGAGTAAGGAAAAAATGGGTGCCATAAAAGATACTGGTAAGCACTGATCTAGCTTGAAGGACAGAGAAGACATTGTCAAGAATCACTATGGAGGATAATGTATAAAGAAGGATGGCAAGTGAGATGTTGTCAAAGATGCTTGTGTTCAAGGGTTTATGCTTACAAGACTGTGTCAGTAACAGGCTGAGTACCATAATTTGCTGACTGTTGCTAACACCAGGAACAGACACAGACAGACAGACAGACAGACAGACAGACAGACAGACACACACACACACACACACACACACACACACACACACACACACACACACACACGACATGGCTGTGGTGTGGTGATGGGCACACACACTGAGTTTGAGATTTAATGAGATATGCTAGTAAACACAGCTGGAGACCAAGTCTGGGTATTTGGGAGAAGGGCTTTAAGTCCACGTAGACCCAGGAGCCACTTGTACAGACATAACAGCTGCTGACATCTTACACAGCTTCTGAAAACCTCTTACTGTTCCAAGACCCATTTTATTTGAAAAGAAATGCAAACCAACACGACTGAGTATATGTATCCTAAGGTGAGCAGTCGGTCAGAGAACAGGTAACACTGACCTTAGTATACTTCCTAGAAGAAATTATTGGCTAAAAGAAGCTGTTACTTAAAAAATATGATGCCCCACATAGGCAACAGCCAGTCATGTGGAAATCTCTTAGAGAACACATTTCCTCCTTTTATCAAGGAAACAATCTCCAGGATGCTAAAAACTAAAGCAAACTGAAATGATAATCTTTTATATTCATGCCACTCTAGTACAATGCTAAACTGAATGTAGTTTTGCCAAGTCAAAATATCCGAATATGTATTTATTGAGAATAATAAAGATAACTTTGTAATGGCAAAACATTTGGCCTATAAGGTATAATAGGGACTGTTTTAATTTAAAATGAACAGGTCTATAAGTCTCTGTAAATTGTATACTCTGGAAAGACAATGTTATTATCTCTTACAGGAATGCAATTTCACTGCTAAGGGATCTTATCACATGACTAATAAAACCTAGTCAGTCTCTGTGAATGCACAGCTGCAGAAAATGAGGTATACCAGAAGTCCAGGCCCACCCTGCTGGGACTGGCTGTGTAAAACCCTCCTAACTTACCTGGTTTGCAGGCACCTGACCGTTCTCTATGCAGCTCTATGTGTAACTGCTCTCACTTTTGCATCCTGTGCTCTCCTAGGTCCTTCGGCTACTCTCTCTGCTTTTTCATGGTTAGCACTAATGGACAGGGTTCAGACGTTTGCTATCAGAACCCAGCAGGCTGTCCTGTATCCTACAATTACCTCTTGATCGCACGCACTTTGATTTCCTTGAGCTTTAGAAGTGGGCATTGTACCAAACAGTCAAATTTGACTGCTTTAGTGAGCAACTTACCACCTGTCTTCACCTTCCATAATAGCCCAATTGACTTAAATTCAAGTAGAATAAACCTCATCTCATAGTTAATAAAGGACAGAGAATGGAATCAACACATCAAAACAAACCAAATAACCAATAGCCAAACCCAGAACACAAATCATTTCCTTTTGTTTTATGATTGCATTAAAATGATACAGGCTGCCTTCCTCAGCTCTGGTAAAACAAAATCATCAGGCTAGCCGAATAGGTAAGTGGAAAGATGACTATGCCAAGCTGACACCAAACTAGCTGAGTATTATTTCACTTTGTAAAAGTAATCTGAGTGTCAAAATTGCATATTGATGCAAATAATAAACAACCCATCCACAGTCCCTGAAATGGTGACTGATGTCTGCGACCTGCAATTATCAAGTCAGATAACATATTTTATCCCATATTTTCTTTCGGCACAGATTAGAGCCAGGACTCTGCACACACTGAGCAGGCGCTGCACAAAATGAGCCATATCCTGCTTAAGAGCAGGGATTTCTGCTGAGTGTGGTGGCATATGACTGTAATTCTAGCGCTCTGGAGGCAACAGCAGGCAGCCAGGCAGATCTCTGGGTGTTCGAGGTCAGCCTGGTCTACACAGAGAGTTTCAGGACAGTTAAGGCTACACAGAGAAACCCTGTCTTGAAAAACCAAGGGGGAAAAAAAAAGAGTTGGGATTTCAAGAACCAAGATGGACAGCACTGTCACTGTCCCTCCTTCCTTCTGGATCCAGGTGGGTATCACACCACAGTAGTAGTCTAGGACAAGGAGCCACCTCGAGATGTGATTAGTCACCATGAAGGCACAAAGCCCAGTGTTTCTTCCTGAGCTCAGGGTTTGTGAGAACACCCTCTATGCCTTTCTATGTGGTGCTCTCTCTAGGACCCTGCATGCAGCAGCCAGGTGGCTGTGTGAACTTTTGAGATTTCCAAAATTATAAATGCAAATATTGGAACCCAGTCATATATTCTTGAAATAAGTGAATTTAGAAACTTTTTAGTAGCATCTGAGGATATTTTAAAATATTCTAAAAAGTGGTTGATACCAAATTTAAAAGTGTGATTATTTTAGTATTTTTAACTTGAGAGTGATTTTTGTAAGTCTAGATTTTTATTGATAGCTAAACAATTAGTATAGTAGTTAGCTACTTAACTTAATCAAGTTACTTAATTATACATAAAGAAATAGAAGAAAGCCATCTTACCGTATTAAGTTTTGCTGAATATTTTCAACCCTCATTAAAATTTGGACCCCGGTCTGTGAGTGTACATAGGCTTTCAATCTGAAATAAAACATCATAGAGGAGAAAAAAAATTAAATGTACTTCAAGATAGTCTTTATGAAGATTAAACATTTATGAGTAGCTAATAATATTTATAATTAATCTAAGAACAGAGAAAAAAGTAAAGATATTTTTTAAGCAAGATGAGAAAAAAATTATCTTCTCTCTTTCTGGTTAATTAGATATCTTAAATTAAAAGTTTTGTTTTGTCAGTACATGAGCTTAAATATATAGTTGGGTTGCTGGGTGGTGGTGGTGGCGCACGCCTTTAATCCTAGCACTCGGGAAGCAGAGGCAGGCAGACCTCAGTGAATTCCAGGTCAGCCTGGTCTACAAAGTAAGTTCCAGGACAGCCAGCACTGTTACACAGAGAACCCGTCTCAAAAAAACCAAAGGGAACACAATAAAGAGAAAAATATAGCTGTGTCAGCAAATAGCACACGAACAAGTGCCAAGCACCAGATTACAATCCATCAAGCTTTACGTGTCAGAGCTGTCCCAACGGCTGAGCTGGGCTCATGCACGGCTTGCGTGAGCTTGGCTGGCACTGCCTTCTTCAACATGGAGAAACACCTGGAGCAGATCAGACACTCTGGACCCAGGTGTAAACCTCAAACCCCAGGAAGCAAACCGACATGCCCATCCCAGGGACAGACGCCTGGTGAGAACAGATCTGCAGGGGTCCCGGCCGGGAGACTGACACCACCACGCTTCCTGTCCAAGCCCTGCCGTGTACTCTAGCACCTCTGGACTCCATACTTGTCTTGCAGGCTTCCCGGCTGCGGGAAATCAAAGCATGGTGGTGAAGCAGCTTGCTCCCAGCTAATGAAAGCTTCTTTACAGCACACACCCAGGGGGCAACGCCCCACGGAGCTCTGTTAGCCACTTCTGACCAGGCTGTACGTGTGGAGGCAAAGTGTAACCTTACTTAGTTTTGGGAGACTTGGCTGAAATATAATCTCCTGTCTTTAACAGTTGGTAGAAAAGTTTTCAGTTGTAGAATTTATGGTTCAACTTGAAAGGCAGTCTAGTCTAAAGGTAAGACCGCAGACTTCAGTCTGAAGGCACTGCAGAGGTTTGAAATCTCAGCTTCCTTATTTGTCACAGGAGGTTACTTTACTTACTTAAGGCTCAGTTTCTCCACCTGTGCAATGGGTACGAACCAGTGTCTCCCTATACAGAGCTGCTGCGGTGGTTAAACGAATTAACTAATCTTCATGACTGCCCATTTAAGGAATGTCTGTATAAAATGGGGCTAGCTACAATGACTGCACTTTACAACACATGTAAATACAGTCACAGCTTCCCGTAATAAATACACACATAAAAACCCTTTAAACATTTGCATCATCTGACGTGGCCAGCAGGTGAAGATGCTGGTGGTCAAGCCTGATGGCATCAGTTCTAGCTCCGAGGTCCCCGTGGTGGAAGGAGAGAGCCTATTCCCCAAAGTTTTCACTCCCCACGTGCTTCCCAGCAAGTGTATGCATACGAATGCACAAACACACATTTTTTAAAGTCAACACTTTAAATCATGTCAGAAAGCTACACGATTTTTGAAACATACCTTTGACGAATTACAGGATCAGACTTTTCAGGATCGATGTAAGGTTTTAGAATTTCATTAATAGTTTTATCATCTGGTACTCTTTTCAACACAGAAGGAAAAGAGTGAAATTATTATTTATAATTTGCCACTGTGTTAACTTAAAATCGCTAAATTTGGTAGAAAAACTGAACAAGGACCCTTTATTTTACTGTTGGCAAAATACAGCATATAACAGTCTTTCATGCTAAAATTACGTAGAAAAAAAAGCACAGAAAGGCTTTTAAGAAATAAGCTATAAAGTCTGTAAAAGACTGAGAAAAGCTTACAATCACTTATAAAACTATGAACCCGCTCTTGACACACACCTACAGTGAAGCTAGAGCCGGAACACGCATGAAACGCATAGAAACAGCTGGAAGCAAGCTTTCGGGAGGCTGCAGCTCCGCAGTGCTCAGCCCATTCACTCAGCCTCAAGCCAGGCTAAACGCTGATACCGCTTTCCCCGGATGGAGCACTTTCCCCGGATGGAGCACTTTCCCCGGATGGAGCACTTTCCCCGGATGGAGCACTTTCCCCGGATGGAGCACTTTCCCCGGATGGAGCGCTTTCCCAGGGATGGAGCACTTTCCCCGGGATGGAGCACTTTCCCCGGGATGGAGCACTTTCCCCGGATGGAGCACTTTCCCCGGATGGAGCACTTTCCCCGGATGGAGCACTTTCCCCGGGATGGAGCACTGTACGTCTTCACTGTGCTGCCCATGTGACAGCTTTACATTTCCATAAAAAGCTGTCCAGCCAAATGAAGACACCTCGGAAACAGTAACTTCCTGAACTACTGCTCTCGGTCCTCTGGGTAAAGGAAGGCCAGCCCTGACATCAGGCTGGTAACAGAATTCCTTACCAACAACCACGACAATTTGAAAGACAGGCACTGCACGTGGGGGGGCACACACACACACAGATGCCAAGGAAACTACCTGACATCTCCCCAACTCAAGAAACAACACAGTGCAGTTAATTAAACCTGTGATACTTGAAATATTCTCAATCAAAAAATCTTAATAAGCTTTAACGCTAAACTAGGATATGCGCGTACATTTCCATGTATTATGATGTGCACACACATGTTTCATACATATACATACAGTATATTCTGAGGGATCTAACACTAATAGCGGAACATTTCCATAGTAGAATTCTGGGTTGTCTTCCATGTTCTGTGTAAGCACTCATTCTAAGAAACAGTTTTCAGCCCTCCCGATTCAGATCACACCCCTCGCCTTAAACCTGTGTCCTGTGCCCAGATAGCCACTGGCATGCTGTGTCAACGGCTCCTTTGGTTCTCCCTGTCTGTAGACACTCCTGAAATGGATACTACTTAGTTCCCTGGGAGTTTTCGTACTGAGACAGAGCCATCTACTGTTCTCCCTTGACCTGATTTCGTACCCAGCACCGCAGCTGGTTTGATCTGGTGCTGCTGGGTTTAGGACAGGTCACGAACTGTCACTCGACAAGCACAGCCCAGGCCATTGACTCACCACCTACCTGTTTAAATACAGAGCCTTAATGGAAAGTCTCGCAGTGGCCAGGGGGTCCCTACCTTTTTTCTGTATACTCGGCTTGGCTCTGTGGAAACTGGAGCTTTAGGTGCCAGCAGAACTGTTGCTTCCTAGGAGAGAAAGAACACTCATAGCACATGAAGGCAGACACTCAAGTCAGGCCTGAGCTCTCACTTAAGGTTCTCTCTCTCTCTCTAGCTGGTCTCAGAACTTAAGTTGCTGTTTCCAAAATCGTGGGAGCTTTCTGGAGCAATGCACTTGTAAGGGTTGGTAAGAGAAAAGAACAGAAGTGAACCAGTTCTGAGTCCCAGGGACATTTGTTTTCCCGAACGAGAAGGAGATTTCTCAGAGCAGATGCTTCCGAGATGGCTGAGCCTAAACTTGGAGTTTACAATACGTTTCCCCACGCTTAAACACAGTGAGCTGGGGTGCTCGCCTGACTAGTCCAGAAAGCAGGTGAATCAAGTACTGTCCGGTGAGCCCAGCTGGCCGCACAAGCACTGTGAGGCATGACTGCGTGCATTCAGTAGCAAAACACGACACAACAAGCTGGTTGCTAGGCAAAAGGCACCGAGGCCTTCGCTTTCCACCCAAACTGTGGTCTGATATAGGACCTTATGCTTGCTTTTAGAGAGATGACCACATACCCCACCTACCATACCTAAAACCACACAACAAAATTAAAAGAAACAGAAAGGTAACTACTGCTCAAAGTGTCGATCACAGAAATGTAAATCTTTTCCTTTGGAAACAGGATCTCAGGATCTCACTACGCAACCCTGGCTAGCCTAGAACACTTGCTATGTAGGACACTTAGTCCTTGAACTCGGAGGTCAGCTTGCCTACTGGGTGACACCTGGCCTACATGTGTTTCCTTGCCTCAGTAGAAAACTTTTACCATTCACTTGCTATATCTCTTCTAGACAATGATCAGCATCTTTTTGAAATTTACGCTGTATGAGGACCCTCAAATCTATAACTTTTTTCTCCCCAAGCCAGACTTCTCTGTGTAACAGCTCTGACTGTCCTGGAACTCTCTGTACACCTGTCTGCCTCAGCCTGCCGAGTGGTGTGTGTGTGCCACAGCCGGCATGGATGGATGGGACAGGGGGTTAGCATTTACTCTGAGTCCCTCTGAATTCATTAGGGATACTGTTCACTAAATACAACCACACACCTTCAACAACAACAGGAAAATCGCACACTTGGCATATCCATCTTCTCAAGAATGAAAATACCATCTTCAGTATTCCACAGAACTTAACTAATCCAAGGTGCTTGTTTACAGTTGAACAGATTGGACAACTGACAAAGTCTCTGAGTCCCACGAGGTATCAAAGGTTTAGCAAGGGTGTGGCCGAGGTTTTCTGGTCTTGTCCCAAATATTCCTGTCAGTGCATACACAACCACACACACATACCATGCATTCTCAACTGAGGCAGTACTGGCCCAATGTCTTATGAATTCATGGCCTCCAAATGGACAATATACAAACAGACATACATCACAGAATGCAGTTAGGAGGAAAAGATCCGAAAAGTTCCCTGGGGAGGGGTACATTAATAAAAAGTTGGCCCATGTATGACATAGGGAATGTAACTTTTATTTGATATTTATAGTCAAGTGTTATACATATTCACCAATGTTTGGAACTTTGCAGGATGATCCTTTCCCAGTTTCAAAAAAGTAATATGCAGATGAAGACACTGGCAGGGGGTTCTATGCTCAAGTATTCAGTTATTCTTGACTTTATTACTTAAAACTGACATTTTAGTATCTGAAACTTAATCAGAATCCTAAGGAATATGAAATTCCAAAGTCATCAGCTCCTTTCAAATGGTACTACTCATGCTTCAGGGCTTGCTCAAACTCATAAGGAAGTGCACACAGAAAAGAAGTGTGCTGGTTATCTGACTTGCAGATATACTTTGAATATCAGAAACACCAGGGAAATGGAGGCAGACAGACACTGCCACTGCTGACCAAAACATAATGGATTCAAGACCCTGGTAGTCCATTAAAGCCATAATAAAATTTTATCAATTTTGTTCCTAGGAATTTATACTGAAGAAATAAGTACGCAAGTAATAAGATACGTAAAACTGTCCACTGTACCCTTGCTGTGGTGGAGCTAGCCAGAAACAACCTCCATGCCAAGGAAGCAGATTTGCATAATGAATGCTAACTAGCCCTCAGGGGCAGGCAGAGCTGAGCAGTGAGGTGGGAAAGCGTGCACCATGAATGGTGTACTTCCAAGTCTGGGAGTTAGACACGGCACGCTGTAATTCTTACTTAAGAATAGGTCTGCACAGAGTAAATCTCTCACATACGATCTGCTATTTTCCACTACCAATAAAACCAAAGATAATTTCTATGACAAGTACCAGATAATAGTGAGACAAACATGGGGAGTGATCCTCACTTGAACATGTAACATGTCTCCTTGAAAACTATTACTCTGGGAATGGGGAAGATGGCCCAGTTAGTAAAGGGCTTGCTGGCAAGCACGAGGATCTGAGTTCAGATCCCCGGGGCTCCCTGGCCGGCCAGCCTAGCTCAACCAGCGAGTTCCTGCCTCAAAAAACAAGGGGGAAAGTGACTGAGGAACACATACCTCTGGCCTTTACACTCATAGCACAGGTCCCAATGAGGACTGGAACATCCTTCCTTCCTTCCTTCCTTCCTTCCTTCCTTCCTTCCTTCCTTCCTTCCTTCCTTCCTTCCTATCTACCTACCTACCTACCTACCGACATATTTTACTCTGATAGCCACAAAGATATTTTGCTGAGAAATATGTCACAAAGCCAGCAATGTTGGCACATGCTTATAATCCCTGACTTTGGGAGACAGAAGCAGGACGAGAGATCTGCCCCAACTACACAGTAAGTCTAATGCCAGCCTGGGCTACAAGCTGAAGACCCGAGACTCAGACTCCAGGATCCCCTACCTGAAAGATAACAGAGAGTCAGAGATGGAGGCTACATCCTAGGGCTGGGTTTTCCATACCAAACCTAAAGGAGTTTGAGCTGGTGGCACACATCTTGTCATCCCAGCTACTAGGGAGGCTGAGGCAGGAGGATTCAGAGTTCAGGGTTGGCAGGGTCTACACATGCTCTACTTACTAACACTGCCTCAAAGCAAAGCAAAACAAAACAAAAGGCTGAGGTGCAGCCTGGTGGGAGAGTGCTTGCCAGCACCTCAAACAAATAAACAAAACCACTGTCCCCTTCAGAACACTTCCGAGAGCTCAGGAGGCCTCAAGGCCATAGACACCGAGAAAGGGAGAAGCCCACACAGACTTGCTATGTGAGCAGTGAGTGATTGAAGCCATTAGCTGAGGGCCAGCACCCCATAGCTCCCGTACGGAAGCATTCTATTCTTTATTTACATTTGATACAGCAAGAGCCAGCAACACACACATGAACACCCATGTGCACACACACTCAATGCTTACGGGGTAGGCTGAGGTTAGATCGACCCGCACTCTGGACTCTATTCTTGACAGTTTATACCTAATGCTATCTTGAACAGGAGACTTCTTTTCAGTGAACTGGAGATAACAACACTTACGTTACAATATTATTAAAAAGGTAAACAGTATGTTGAGATCTTACAGACACTTGAATGTTATAATTATATATTCAGTTTAATCATCTTAATTATGAAGCTTAGCACAGAAACGTCTACTGAAACTATCATGAGTCCCTCAAGCAAACTCTGCATGAAGTGGACAGTATGTGGTGATGCGATGTCTCTGTTGGGGCTACGGCTTCACACGGCTTTTAGAGAGTGTGAGGTGAACTGAGAGAAGACGCATTGACTGAGACGTAACGATTTGCCCGTTCCTTTGTTAATTTCTTATCTATTCTGTGAGTATGGCAGTGCTGGCCATGGCAGGCAAGCGGAGGTCAGAGGACAACTTTTGAGTTGGTTCTCCTTCCACTGTGTTCGCCCTGGGTCAGCAAGTGTCTTTCCTCACTGAGCCGTTCCACTGGCCCCTGTCTGTACTTTTTCTTTTTTTTTTTTTTTTTTTGGTGATTTTGAGATAGGGTGTCACTGTGTAGCTCTGGCTGTCCTGGAACGCAATTTGCTGGCCTTGAACTCGCAGAGATCTGCCTGCCTCTGCCTCCAGAGTTCTGGGGTTAAAGGCTAAAACAACATGAAGGAAAAGAGCGCTTATTTGTCTCACAGGTCACAGTCCCTCATGGAGGGAAGCCAAGGCAGGAACTCCAGGCCAGAGCCCAAGGGCAGGAACCGAAGCACAGGGCACAGAAGAACACTGCGGATTTGGCTCGCTCAGTTACCCCTCTTATACAGCCTACGCCGACAGAAGCAGGGACGGCATAACCATGGTAGGCTGCGCCCTCTTACATCAATTAACAGTCAAGAATTGTCCCAAACATGCCCACAAGCTAATCTGAGGGAGGCAAATCCTCAACTAGGCTTCTCTTTCCAGGGGTGTCTAGGTTTGCATCAGGTAAAAAAACCGAAGACAGCATATTTCATCTCTCATTTGTAAACAACAGAAAAGAGAGACCTATGCTGTCAACTGTTAGGACATTTAGAACCATCAAGTAATACCTAATGGGATTTTGGGAATAAAAGCATTTCGTTCTACTGTCAGCAATAAAATCTGATTTTAATTGAAAACCAGAAAAAAATCCTACCAAATTTGGAAATCCTTGAAGGACAAACGCATAAAATAGCTACACAATCCTTCACTCACAACCACCTGACCTTTAAAGTAGTTTTCAGGATGAAAACTTAGTCTCTCCAAAATAAATGCAACCCTTCCTCATAAAAATAATGTGTTTTATTAGGATTAGTACCATGATTAAATATTTCTGGAAGCACCAGTACAAAGAGCCTGTTTAGTTACTTAGTCTGGAATAAAATAACTAGAATTTGAGAATGAAAACCACAAGTTTTATGTCTTGCATCATTATAAAACACTTTCAAAGGAACCAGTTAGATATTTCGCCCATGAAGTGCTCTACTACATGATAAAGGAAACAGGCTAGCCAGGTGGTATGGGAGTTAGTAGATGGTGCATTAAGAAAATGCGCATAGCTTGTGAAGGATGAAGAGAAAAAGAACATTTTAACTACTT